TATTATATTTCGGTGACCGTTATATTTTAGGGTCAAATATATTAAACTGCACTAGTAAGCCGTTTTCAGTTTTTAGTTTTTAGCCGATTCGCTGTGAACGATTCGCAGACGATGTGCGCAATAATATATATATATAGTGTTCACGATTTTGCCGACAACATGGTTTCTATACATTATCAGTGATTACCACTTATTATATTGTAGTTATCGTCATCATAAGTATCACCGTCATCGTCATTTCGAACGAAAGAAATCATTTGCTTTTACTATATGCCGGCGGAAATAAATTGGGACAAAGCTGTTTTTAGAAAATCAATGGACGCTTATCCAGCGACCGTATATATTATTACACTATGACAGATGTTGGCGATGACAGCAGCTATTCATCAGCCCGACGACGACGATGACGACGACCGAATTCTGTTTCTACAGAACACGACTGCGGACATAAGCAGCCCGCGGGTCACCAAACGTGTTGTTCCAGCTTTGAATAACGAACGGCGTGAACGACAGAGAAAATAATAACAATTCAAGACTACCAGATAAACAAATCGCCAGCGTTTTTTTTCCGGGCGTATTATTTTTATTTTCGAACCTACGACAACCCCCCCCCCCCACCGTTCGAACGCACCCGCCGAGTGGGCAGTACATTTATTATACGTCACCAAAACAATAGATAAAAACTACGATTAATCTCCAGAATGTTTTTCGAGAAATAAATTATATTATATACGGTGTGATTCATACTCACCCCCATTTTTTCGTAGTATTCAAATTCTGATTTTTGGAATTTTTATAAATTATATATTTTTTTTAGCTATTATTACTGGACACCTACAACATTTTAAATATACACTAAGATTATATTTTAAATTGCATGACATTTTTGCACTACCTAATGAGTGTCTTAAGCCATACAAACTTTTGTATTTCAAATGAGAACTCCCTTTTTTACTGAACATTATTTAGTGGATATTTTATTTTGAACATTATAATTATAGAATGTACCTATTTCAAAGTTCAAATGAGTAGTTTTTCAGTTATTAAAACGTATAGTATTTATTATACTTTGACTGTTTTTATAAATTATAGATATTGATAAATTAATATGAATTTCTAAAATTTTCAAATTACCTCCAAATCCTCGAAACTCATTGCCATGAACCTACTATCATAAGTATACACAAAGTTAAGCAACTCAATAACTACTTGTTAAAATTTTCATTTTGATACGTCAAAATGTTCAGAAAAATTGTCCGCTAAATAATTTGCAATAAAAAAGAGTGGTTGCCATTTAAAAAATAAAAGTTTGTATCTTCACGCGGTGCTTAAGTAGTATAGGTACAAAAACATTTCAAGAATATTTCAAAATTCAAAATATGGTCTTCAAGCATATTATTAAATAATTCCAAAAAACAGATTTTGAATAACTGAAGTAGAAAAATGGGATGAACATGTTTGGTGAATCATCCTGTATATTATGCTGTTATTTTTTAAACTTTACAACACTGATATGTATTATTATTATTATTTTCAGGAAAGTTTTCGAGGTGTTAAATATGAAAACATTGTTCACTGACAGCTACACGGCGTCTGAAGTAAACGTAATAAGGACAAACGCACACACAACATAATATTATAAACATTAACCGCGATTACTCGACGACCTAGATACTTCGAGTTGTATTATTACAATTATTACGTTTTTCTCCTCACTATTATATTATATTCGAACAATTTCGATATTTTTATTTAATCTATAATTTCGCATTATTCGCTCGACCGAAATAATATAGTCTTACCATAGTGTTATACGATACAGCTGAGTACTACTGCCGAGCTGTAAAGCATACATAAATACATGTCAGTGAATGGAGTGGTGTTAAAGTCGGTCAGAGATCACGTTTATTTGTCTTATCGGAGCGCGCTTAAATCCCCCGAATTTAATGTTGTGTGCACATTATATTATTGTATTATTGTCTATTTTTAACGCCACTTCGAATGTCTGTGCCGATATTATATCTACAATGTGCCACATGTGAACTTGATTTATTATATTATTATTTCAGAGTTTTTTTTCTCGTGCAAGCATATATAGTATTATCTATATAAATTATTATTTAATCTTAAAATCCACTCTACACAAATATTCGGCCAAACATTGTTATAATAATAACAACCTCGTTCATATTCTGCATCGGATTGAGTGAACTTGGAGTATAAAAGTTTTTCAAATAAAAGATCAAAGCACAAATTATTGATCTTAAAATGATTGATCAAAAGCGCAAGAATAATAATAATTCATGAATTTTATCGAAACTTTCAAAATTTTGTTTCATCAATTTTCTTCCTTTAATGAGTCATAGTTTTCAACGTAAAATAAGATATATTGGGTAGGTACCTTTGTCTTAGTTTTCATAGTGAAAAGCACAAACTTTTAATCATGAAATTTTCATAGAAAACATGAAACTTTTATTAATCAATTGTTTGTCTATATTTTAGTTCCACATGTTACAAAACCGTATAGTAATATTAACGGGAATCAAATGAGATTTTGGAAACCTGTCATATTCGCTTTTGCAGGATAAAGCTTGAATACATGATTCACGATGATGCCTTGGTAGTTGGTACAATAGTTTTTGGTAAAAGAATATGTGAATATTTATATTTTCTAAATTCTGTGTGCATATTATTGGTCTATGTTTTAGAGTATATAAGTACTAAGCTATAACCGCGTAGAAGTGGAATACAAAGACATTTTCGGGTACCAGCTCATAATTGATTGACAAGAAAGCTACACTATTTTTTTTTGGTGATTTCGTGAATTTTTAAAGAAAAATATTACATGGTTCCCGTATCAATTCTACGTCCATATGTATACGAGTCTACTACTACGTCTTATTGTTATCCACGACGATAAAAAGATATATTATATAATTGGTCAAACGAGTCGCTACATAGGTATCATGGTACACGAGCGGTAAACGGATGTGAAATATTTATCCCATGCATATACCACTTGTAATATTATGACGTTATGTGTGACGGCCTCATATAATAAAGTGGTCAGATTATTGTGGTCGTCGTTATTATACCTGAAGTGCATATATACCTACGTAGGTTCAATGCAGTGCTCTATACGCTCACCGACACGCGAAGAAGTCGTTTGTCGTCCGTATATTTTTTTTATCGTCATTATTTAGAAGACTAGAAGACGTGATCGCGCGGACCGATTGAAACTATAATGTACCGCTATCGTCGTGATGGCATCGCGTTGACATCTACCAACTTCCGGACTCAAAGCTGTACCTACCTACATATAATATCTTATGTTAGAGGTATATATCGATATAACGACTTTACTGTTGGTGGGTGGAAGGGAGGAGGGGGACACTCTGCGTACATATAAGGTAGGTTAGGTTAGTGTTACAGCTGGTATAGTAAAAATATATAGGTACTTATTATCCATCATAATATTATTGTATGGCTATTATACGGACCTCGCGGACGATTGCATTTTCCCCGACGAGTGGGTGTTGATGGGTTTAAACGCGCACTGAGATTTCATTTACACCCAGCGTATAAATCTTTCGTCAGATGTTCGCATACAGATTTTGCGATTTTACGGTTTTCTTTATGTGACATAGACTATGCGTAGACGTGCCGCGATAATGATCAACGACGCTTGACATAGGTACGAAAGAATATAAAAAAAAGCGTCGAGTTTACATTAGGTCTATATGTATATACGAGTACTACGTTGCAATACGCGTCTTATAATGTTTAATAGTTTAGGCAGATTTCTTAGCTTTGTAAAATATGATTTTAATATAATGTGCAGCTCTTAACTAACACGAGCAGATTCCTCTTTCCTCTTCAGCAGATCGACACTCTATGATATAATACTTCCTTTCTTCTACAACTCTTTTCTGACTGTCGGCACTCATTCCCTTCTTCAATTTAAAAAGTCAAAGGTCAAAAACGCCCGCTTTGATTCTTGTTTGGTTATTCCATTTCACAGCTTAACATGAAATTATTGAAAAAGAGCTCCTTGCACCTTGTTCCTTCTCTAGCTTAATTTTCACAAGATTATAAAATTATTGTTATGTATTTTCAGTATATCTCTGTATATATTAGGAACACGACCGTTATTATTATTTAATAAATAAATGCACGTAAGATAGTAGGTAGATAAAAAAAAAATCAGATCTTCAATCAGTTCAATCATACTTCCGTCTCTAAAAACAAATGGAACTCAATTTGATTCAAGGACTTTTGTAAAATTAAGGAAAAAGAACTTCACTAACTTAACATTAAAATTATTACTTATAAAAAACAGTGCAAAACATTCATAGCCAAAATCACTGAAAACTAAAACTTTTCCACCCCCTTTAACTCCAGTGGGAGTTGAATTCCTAAAAACCTTTCTTAAACGACGCCTACATTACAAAATCTTTATATACTCTCTTAAAATTTCAAATTTCTACCCACTCAGTTACTTTCAATCACATTACAGAGGTTTTTAGTTTCACCTCCTTATGGGTTGTTTGTCCTTCTCAGGGTGTAATACCAAATTTCATCAAAATCGGTTAAGTATAGTTTAGCCGTTAAAACATAACAGACAGAGTTACTTTTCGCATTTATGATGTTATTATAGTATACTTATAATATTTAGTACTATATATTATATAAACTATATAGTAAATATTATTATGAATAGGTTAACAACAATAACGCGCAACGATTCGTGAAATTGGTCTTATATCGAAAAAAACGACAATGTTTAAGAGGTATAGGTAGGTACCTATAAAAAAATTGTTTGTCGGAAAAACGCATTAGTATTAAAACATAGGTAATATATTATTTATTATATTACTATACGTACTCGGTACGTTTAGTATGTGTAGGTATAATTATTATTATATGATAATATTGTCATATTTCGCTATAAAATGTATGATATTATATTATTAGCTGTGATGTTTTGATTAAATAAGTACCTAGTGAAGAGCGCGGCCAGTCCCCAGGCCAGCAGACATATGATCATCGCTCTGGTCTTGGTGCACACGTAACCTGCTCGCAGTGGTTCGCAAATGGCGTAATACCTCTCGAAGCTGATGGCCAGTATGGTGAGCACGGAAGCATGGGCTACCGTGAGCTCGACGAAAGGTACTGCTTTACCTGAAAACATCCATGTGGTTAACAAAACGTACTCCAATTTAATGGTGTGATATTTAATATAATATTATGTTTTATCAATGTTATACACGTCTTATATGATATACAATAATACATATTATATAATACGAGACCTCGTGTATACACTCGGTGTACGAGTCTGCGATGAACACGTCCGAATTGATTAATATTTTTAGGTCGAGTGCATTAAATCGGTATAATAGTTGGTGAGATTGCGTGCAGGCGACTACTCGTATTTAACGAAAACCCACAACATAATATTTTGACAAATAGGTAGACGCGTTTCATCCGTACACGTAGGCTACCACTTTTGCAAACGTAACACTGCACGCGTGCACGGGAATAGTTTAGGTACGCGTAGGTATAAATACAACTAAATATAATTTTGTAAAAAAAAATTTTTCTCAAATGACATAATATTCTACATATTTTAAGCAACAATAGTAGTGCTTTGATTGATGTTGGTCTTGTCCCAACAATTTTTTATTTTTTTCAAATTCCTCTAGTACAGACTAGTATTATAGTCTGTTTATAATTATAGTCGCTGTCGTTGATCGTCGCGATAATATTATTTTTGCTATTGACCGAGCCGTATTTGATGACTTTGATACGTCATATTAAAATTTCTTAAGGTTAAGGCTCGAATAATAATTAAGGGTTAACGCCGATTTCTCGATGTTGTAATTTTATAATTTTAATCACTCGACTATAATGAATTATCTATCCAGTCTTCTACCACTCCTCCGATGGTGTTGTATGTACTTATATAATAATATCATCAATCCACTGTGTAAACTAATAAAATATTTTTATAGCTGTTTTCGTAAACATTGTCTTTTGGAAAATAAAGTTTTTATACCAAAATCCGTTACAGAATAAAAATATGACAAATTGAGATAAATTGACGAAATCTCCAAAGAATACACGTAATATATTACGTATAAATAAGTATAATGTCTTATTAAAAAAAAATAAAAATATTTACTAAAACTCTAAGGACTCAATTCAAAAACTCTATAAATCTATACAATAGTTAATAAGTAATTTACAATTGGTAAATTTTATTTAAACAAAATATACTGAATGTAAATCACACGATTGTAAACATTTTTATAGTTCCGAAACGTTTGTCCCAAAGTCCGCACTTCCGCAGTCGTTGTACAGAGGTTTGCATGGTTCCGTTTATTTTTATTTTCATATCAAAAGAATTATGTTCATTTTTTTAAATCAACCACCACCACATCATGTCATAATCACAGTCTGATTAATATACATAAATATATATTTTTAATAATGTCGACCCCGTTTCAAACATTATACATAATATTATATTTGTATACACTTCCGAGGGGATGAGCTCTTTCACAATAATATAATGAAATATTTATGTTATATTGTTATGACTGTACGTCATACTACTGCGATTAAAAGATATTATTATATAAGTACTACTACAGCAGTTGAACAATAACATTCAAGAGTACATAAAATCCGTTTTATGAAAACAATTGAATATGTTTTCTTAGAAAACAACCGTTCAGTGTTTTTTTTAGACTGTTAAAAAATAATATCTTCTGATTGGGCTGTAGAAAGACTAAAAATGATCCTCGTCAAAACCCGAAATTCCGTGATACTCGACAATGATAATATTACACCGGCCCCCGACGACAACTGCTCTGACTACAAATAATGATGATTAAAAAAAATAACGAATTCGGCTCGAGTTTTTCGCTCTATAATATAACGCGACGTTTGTATCATCTCCGTCGACATAAATACATAATAATGTAACTATAATATACTCGTGGTCCCGTTAAATTCATAGTATAATAATAATATATAACAATAATTCATAATCACATTGCGTCGGTACATTATATTATTATTATTATTATCGTTCGTTTCCCCGTCGTTGTCGTATAGTATTCTCGTGGCGCCTACAGCACATCGATCGAGTGCCAAATAAATTCGTTTCCCATTAGACAAAACAAAAAAAAAAACGCGAGTGCAGTTGCCAATTGGAACGCCGTGTTCAAATATTTGGTGACCAACGACGACGACGACGACGACGACGACGGCGGCGGCGGTGGTCACGTCAATTTTATTATCATCGGTCAATATATTATATAGGTAAGTAAGTAATAAGGTCGAAATTCGAGTCCCGACGGCAAGCGGGTAATACGATCATATTAATTATTACAAAAGTGGGCATCAACTATGTTATAGTTAAAAAGTTTCATTTAAAAATAAACTTTTTAACTTAAAGTTAAAGAATCCGTTGCTTTAACCTAGCTTTTTCCGGATAATTTGTAAATAATAACACGATAAGTTTTTACGTTCCTATATACCTACCTGTAATTGTAGTTACAACTATATAATTAATTTTTTGTCCGTTTAATCACTCTTTGTATACAATGGTTTTAAATACAAATAAACAAATAACTTGATTTAACAATTCAGTTGACACAAACGTATAATTAACAAAACCACTTTCTATAGTTCGTGCAACATGTAGAAAAAGTATAAGATACCTACAATTTACATGTTTTTAGAATATTTAGTTATTATGTCAAAAAAATGATAGTTTCTCAATCACTTGTGACCCCTGGTGCAGGTGAAAATAAAAAATAAAAGAACTAACTTTATTAACAAGGTTATATTTTTCTCCATGTTAACTTTAAACTTTTTGAGTTAAATAATTTGTTTGTTATAACTATTAACTTATAGCTTGCTTCAGCTCAAGTTCATTTTTTTCATCAACTTAAAAACATAACTTTTTCATAATATTAAATTTGCTATTTCATTAGTTATTTCTCATTACCCATATAATATTATATATATTTAATAAATAGTATCTTACAAAATATCGTTCTTCGATATGCCTATCCACCTATACAATATTATGAAGGTGCTTCTAAAATAGTATTTGGATATTTGATATTATATAAATGATTCGCGGATGACTTTCGGAAGCTTTTCTCGCGTTTTTACATTTCGGTGTTGTAATACTTTTTATTATTGTTTTATTTTTTAAAGTTTCCTTTACATAATCATATAAACTTATTGATATGGGTAATACCATTGATTATGAATACTAGTATTACTAGTAATACTTTACCCTGATTACATTTTTCTTTAACGCGAAGAAGTGTATAATATGTAGGTACTAAAATTTAATTTTAAAAATAATACATATACAGACGAAACGAACAATTATTTAACGTAATAATATGTAATATATTTTCTGTAAAAACACGTCGTATTTATTTAAAAGAAATTCCACAGCAACGCGAGGTGAAATATGATATCAGGTTTTAGATAATAAATAATATTATATATTATATTGTACTCAATTTTTTCAAACGCATGAAACATATTAAGTTTAAAGTGCTTTTCATTACGTTTTTTAAAGGTTGAAATCATATATACTGTGAAACATATGAAGAGATTTAAATTTTAAATCTCAATGAGGATAAAAACTTGTTTATCTAACATTTTACCCTCAAGTATTACAAATTATCGAATTGTATTTTTAATTATTTTATTTTATGTGTGTGGGTGTATCACAAGGTTCAATAATTCAAGTCCTCGTTCGTTTATTACGATTTTCACGTAGGTAACATATTATTTAATTAAACGTGTAAACTGTTCCTGTAATAAGTACATATTATTATGGCATTCTGCTATTATTTGCCAATGCTGCTAAATTATTTTTAAAAATACTGACGATCGTTATACTGGAAAATATAATTTATCTTGAGGTGATGATATTTTAACAGTTAGCCATCGAAAGTTATTGACAAATGGGTATTTTAAAACTTTCCATAGTAGCTCAATGATATTATAAAAATAATAATAAATTCTCTAACCAATACAGTTTAAAATTATTTTAAGTGTAGGTAACCAAGAGGTCGTTCTAATAGTATATTTTAATCAGATGATAGTAATACATTTTAATATCGACCTTATACAGTACGCAGTATCAAAAGCTCAGAAAATAAAATGATTTATTGTGAATAGTACAAACAAAGTTATCTAACCCAACTCCAACAACACATACATACGTATTAAAAAAAAAGACATTCAGCAAAGTAAACAGTTTAAAGGCAGTAAATCGCTTGTGACAAACCTATACACATTCTTATCGACACAATACATTCTGGTGAGCTGTTGGGAAATATTATGATAGATAAAAATGAATAATTTTCCTTTAATGATATATATTATTTGAATTGGGAAAACTAAAATCTTGAGTATCAATTTTCCTAGACAACGCCTATTATTCCTGCTACAATAATATCAAAATTAATTAGAATAACTAATTAATAAAACATTTTACTGTTTCAACATATATTACAATATTACAATATCCAAATAGAGTTAACGTTAATTAATTTAAAGGTTTAGTTTTGACTTTTGACGGAATAAAATTGACCAACTTGATATTCTAACTTTTAAGTTTTATGTTAGGTAAGTTTTAAGTCTCTTTCATAACTTTCAACAATTCAACCTACATGCTTGTGAGTATAGAGTGAAGAGTTCTCGGAAAATTACAATTTATGATCGATAGTAGTGACAACAATAAATGTTACAAATTTAATGAGTATAGTACCCGTGTAAATTTAGTTAAGTATATGTTTTTCAATTTATAAAACAATGAATTCTTTTTTAATATTGACAAACAAAATGTAGGTACATTCTAAATTCAGTTTTTAATTGATTAATCCATATAAAATATAAATTAAAAATATTTACGACCCTAAACAATGTAAAAAATATATAGGTAACATCATCGTAAAACTGATAATTACTTCCTTATTTATTTCCGGATTTAAAACTGTCTATAAGCTATAAGAAACATAGAATACATTAAGTATATTTAAACCTTAGGTATAATTCTTTGACAGCATATAATACGAATAGTAGAATTTAAATAATATTGTCGAATAGATGTTTAAATATCACAAATCATAATAATAATACGTGAGTAAT